AGAGGGAAGACGAGATCAAGAGAGAGAGAGAGTACAGGGAGGCAAGGAGGCCTCGTAGACTGGACAGATCTGCTGGTCCTTATTTTGGAGGCAGGGTGCGACATAGTAGAGGTTTAGTAGGCCAGCCAGTTCAGTTTGCGCTTCAGGCTTCACTCAGTGATTCAGGTGTTCATGGGTCTCAGAGTACCCGTACCGCACTGTTCCCACAACCACGTCAGTAGAGGGGTTGCTTCTGTGAAGATATTAGCCATATGGTGAGAGATTGTCCCAAACTCGGGCCGATGTGCCACAACGAGGTATTCAGGCGAGTAGAGGGCGCCCAAGAGGGGGAGGCCCGACCCGTTGATGTGTCTCGCATGGAAGGCTTATGGCCGCTGCACCAGATGATGTCGTTCAGGTATGCTTTCGATTTGTTATGGAGGAGCACCATCCGTATTTCATGTCAGTTCTGCTTATTGGGGTAAGTTCCCCTATCTGTTCCTCCACTTATGGGTGCGTTTCATGATTTTCACTCTGTTTATGTAATTACCCTGTTGGGAGGTTGTATGAGTGATAACCGTGCCTATCATCTGTTTCTAGTCCTTGTTGAGAGTTATGAGACTAGTGGTAAATTCCTGTTGTCCTTTTTGGTAGGCTTGTTGTGATTTTTGAGTGTTTTTGGCTACGAGCCATGATTTTGTGCTCCACCGATGTGGGAGCCAGTACATGTTGTAATTTTGTTGACGGAATTGATCTAGTGAGAGTTTCCAACTGATTTGATGTGTACCCTACTTGAGGTTCAGAGTTGAGGGCAGCACCCTCGTTATTTCATGTGATTTGATGTGTTGAGACCGGGCTGTGTACCACGGTGGGAGTTATATCATTATGAGATCCTTGTGATTCTTTTATATGCTTTAATTTTTTCTTGTTAGATTGTTTTGTAAATTAGTTTTGATAGAAAAATTTGTGTTTGACGGATTTGTTTGATAGCTTTATGTGTTTCCCTTTCTATATTCAGTCATTTTCGTTCTGTGCTTCTTGAGAATTAGCTTGTGGGGTGTGTGCCCGTTGGTATTAGTTGTGATTTGGTGATTCGGGTGTTAGTTATGTGGTTTTCATGGTTATTGTATCATCGTCAATGTTGTGGAGGTTTGAAACGGGTTCCTATCGAATATAAGGCTTATGGCCAGTGCAAGATTTGATTTCGGGCGAGTATTGTGATCAGGAGTGTTATTATAGACCTATGTATGGTGTGTATGTTGTGTGGTTGTACTCTGTGGGTGTAGGCATAAGTGGTTGCAGCTAGTTGAAACTGATACCGGATATGGATTTAGAATCAGGTCTCTTGGAAATGAATAAGAGATGAGGATTTTGGCTCTAAGGCGTATTGGTATTGCTAGAAAGGCTAAACTTCAGTTGAGATGGTGTCGTCAGATTTATGTGGATTGGGGTGACGTGGGATCACCCGCGGCTGTATGCTGGAAGTGTGCATTCAATGATTTGAGGACTTCGAGGCGAATCTTGGCACGTTCTAGGACGAACGTTGGTTTTAGGAGGGGGAGGATGTAACGACCCGGCCGGTCGTTTAGAGAATTTAAGCTCCGTTCAGCAGCGTAAGGTCTGGAACAGCTCCATAATATGAGTATCAATTGCGTGCATGGTTGAATTCAGTTAACGGATGATTCAGAGTCAAATAGAAGAAGGAATCTAGTTTTGGGAGTTTAAGCGATGAGAATTTGACTGGAATTTGACTTCTGAGTAAACGGCCTCGGAATGGGTTTTGGGTGATCTCAACAGCTTTGTATGGTGATTTTGGACTTAGGCGCGCATCCAGATTTAGATTTGGAGGTCCGTAGGGTAATTTGAGGTGTTCCAGCGAAAGTTGGAAAAGTTGAGGTTTAGAAAATGGAGAAGTTTGACCCATAGTTGACTTTTGCAATATCGGGGTCGCAATACGATTTTGAGAGCTGGAGCAGCTCTGTTATGTCATTTTGGACTTGTCTGCAAAATGTGGCATCATTCCGAGTTGATTTGATTGGTTTGGGCACAAGTTTTTGAAGTTGGAAGATGTGAAAATTCCTAAGTTCGATTCATGGTGTGATTCATCATTTTGGCATTGTTTGATGTGATTTGAGACCTCGAGCAAGTCCGTGCTAGATTATATGACTTGTTGGTATGCTTGGATGGGGACTCGAGGGCCCCAGGTGTGTTTCGGACGAGTCGCGGATGATTTTGGCTCTAAGGCTTATTGGTATTGCTAGAAAGGCTGAATTTCAGTTGAGATGGTGTCGTCAGATTTATGTAGATTGGGGTGATGTGGGATCACCCGCGGGTGTATGCTGGAAGTGTGCATTCAATGATTTGAGGACTTCGAGGCGAATCTTGGCACGTTCGAGGACGAACGTTGGTTTTAAGAAGGAGAGGATGTAACAACCCGACCGGTCGTTTTGAAAATTTAAGCTCCGTTCAGCGGCGTAAGGTCTGGAACAGCTCCATAATATGAGTATCGACTTGCGTGCAAGGTTGAATTCAGTTAACGAATGATTCAGAGTCAAATTGGAAGAAGGAATCTAGTTTTGGGAGTTTAAGCGGTGATAATTTGACTTCTGAGTAAACGGCCTCGGAATGGGCTTTAGATGATCTCAACAGCTTTGTATGGTGATTTTGGACTTAGGCGCCCATCCATATTCAGATTTGGAGGTCCGTAGGGTAATTTGAGGCATTTCGGCGAACGTTGGAAAAGTTGAGGTTTGGAAAATGGAAAGGTTTGACCCATAGTTGACTTTCGCGATATCGGGGTTGCAATACGATTCCGAGAGCTGGAGCATCTCCGTTATGTCGTTTTGGACTTGTCTGCAAAATTTGGCGTCATTCCGAGAGTATTTGATTGGTTTTGGAACAAGTTTTCGAAGTTGGAAGATTTGAAAGTTCCTAAGTTCGATTCATGGTGTGATTCGTCATTCGGCGTTGTTTGATGTGATTTGAGACCTCGAGCGAGTCTGTGTTAGGTTATATGACTTGTTGGTATGCTTGGACGGGGTCTCGAGGGCCCCGAGTGTGTTTCGTACGAGTCGCAGATGATTTTCCATGGTCTTGGAGAGGCTGAGTTCTGGTGTAATCGCAACAGCGGTCCCGGGGCGCAGGTGCGAAGGAGGAAGCGCAGGTGCGAGAGGAGTTGGTCTGGGCAGTCTCCGCAGATGCAGAGAATTGGAACGCACGTGCTGTGTCGCAGAAGCGGATCCCTGGGCGCAGAAGCGGAGTTGAGCGCAGGTGCGATTGGTCAGGCACACCTGCGGTTGCGCAGATGCGGTGAAGTTGGTCGCAGGTGCGGAAGTTCTGGCAGAATCATATAAGTCGAGGGTTTGGCCATTTCCTTCATATTTTGAGTTTTAAACTTTGGATTTGGGAGCTTCTTTTGGGGTTTTTCAAGCAAATCGATCGGGTAAGTGTTCTTCACCTAAAATCTAACATATTCCATGATATTATCTTCATTTTTATCGTTTAAATTGTGTTTTGGGTTGGGAAGGAGTTGGTTTTTGAAGAAAATATCTAAAATGAAAAATCGTGATTTGAGGGACCAAATGGTATCAGAATTTGATAATTTTTTTATGGTTGAACTCGTATCGGAATGGGTATTCGGTTTTTGTAAAATTTGTTGGGTTTCGAGGTGTGCGCCCAGGGGTCGACTTTTGGACCGATTTTTTTGATTTTTTTAAAGATTGAGACTTTATGATCCGGAATAGCTTCTTATGTGTTTTATTTGTGCTTTGAAGTTAATTTGGTCAGATTTGAGCCGTCCGAAGATCTTTTCACACGAGAAATGCATTTTAGAGTATTGGTGTGTCGTCTTTGAGGTAAGTATCTTGTCTAACCTTGTGTGGGGGACTTCCCCTTAGGATTTGTGTCTTCTATTTTGATTGTAGTTCGTGTACGCGAGGTGACGAGTGCGTGCTCGGACTTATCTGTGAAAAAATTGGTCTTTTAGAGTTCTTAGGTCCTTATATTCATTGTGTATAAATGCGTTCTTGACATGACTGAGTTTCTTATTTACTAGTTTCACATCTACATGCTTGATTGAAAATAATTGCTTCATGATTCACTCTTATTGCTTAACTGACTCCTATTTGATTTAATTGAAGAATTTCGCCTCTCCTATTGTCATGCTATCTTTTCATAGTTGTTTGTCTTATTTGAGAATCATTATTATCCTTCCTAAAATTTTGTTTAATCTTAAGTGAAGCTAAAGATCATCTTTCCCTAATTGAATTGTCGAATATCCTCGAAATTGTCCAACCTTAAAAGGAGTTAGATAACCTATATCTTTGTTGACTAGCCCTTATTTGGGACTACTTGACTCGCGTTGATTTCCTTGTTATTGACTTGTATATTGTTGGATCGTCGCTATATGTTAGTTTTCCTGTGTTGAACTCTTCCCTTTATGCTAGCATTCTTTTCTGTGGTTATTCCTTGTGAGCTGGTTCTACCGCTTCGTTGTGATTTACAGTCCTGAAGTTGATTTACTTGTCTTACCTTGTTTTATTGTCATTGTTGTCGTTGTTATATGTATCATGGTGATGTACGAGCTTTCTGTTGTGCTGGACTGTTATTTCTGTTGGTTGCGCTGCGTATACCTTGGGACTATGGGACGATATCCCGGGAGATCCTCCTGCATGTTTAATTTGGGACTACGGATCGGTATTCCGGGAGATCCCCCCTGAACGTTTACTTTTGGGACTATGGGACTGCACCCGGGAGATTCCCCTGTACTAAATATTTACTTTTGGGACTACGGGATGATATCCTGGGAGATCCTTTGCACATTTACTTTTGGGACTACGGGATTATATCCCGGGAGATCCTTTGCACATTTACGTTAGGGAATACGGGACGATATACTGGGAGATCCCCTGTTAAAATCATTGCGTTCTGAGTTGATGTTTTCATTGATCCTATCCCTGTGCAATTACCAAATCGTTTCGCTCGGTCAAAATTGGCCATCGTTTCTTTACCCGAAAACTCTTTCATCCTTCCTTCAGTCTAGGTCTAGAATCAGGCAATTTTTTGTACATTCTAATCGATGGATTCCACATAACCAAGTCATTGTCTTCCATGGCAAGGCAAATCAATCCATTAACTGAACCTACGATCCAATCGAAATTAGGCAATCTCATGTATGATCCATTGGATTTCGTGGGATAATCCAAGTCAAAAGCCTCGATAACAGACTCATTAAATAATGACCCAAGAGCAATCTTTAATATTGTAATAGATTCAAAATTCATCATAAGTCTACGGTGGGTGTCGTCCTTGTTATTAGCAGATATGTAGAGATGGGCTTTGACAAATTCAGGGCTAGATATTAAAGCAAGCCAAGATTTTGAAACACATCTGAACCGCAATAGAGAGTCCTCGGGAAGCCTTAACAGGATTTCAGTGATGAGTTCTGCTGGCAAAATAGGGATTTTAAAGCTTGAATCTTGCACAGAAGTTGATGGAAATCGAGAATGTTTTATGGGTTTTCTCTGTTTTGGGTGTTGTGCCATTTGGGTCGCTGAACTTTGAGCTCTTTAAAGTTCATTTTGACGAGGTAGAAGAGGGTTTTGACGAGGTTTTGTGCAACTGCAAGAGCCGCAGGACAGTGGAGAAGATTTTTATTTCGGATAGGCATGTTTTTTGTGTTTTTATGATAACCCGTTTTTGTTATAAATAGAATTTATTTATGGTGAATGTCTATATTAATAGAGATTCTAGGGTTTATTACTTGGTGGCTAAGTCACCCTCTCCCTATATATAGAGGGTTCTATTCCATTGTAATTCATCCCAATATCAATATAAATTCTCTCTCTCTACTTTTCTCTGCAATTCCCTTCTTCTTCATTTATTATTTTATAACACATTATCAGCATGAGACTCTAACCAATTGAGTAGAAGCTTTGGAATTGAGCATAATGATTGTCAATTATTCCATGAACTTCCTTCATGATTAAATTCTGGATTTAAGGTAAGTATTTTACCGTATTATTCTCTTTTATTCTATGCCTTTATTTTAAATACAAGCAAAGACAACAAAGTTTGATTATAACTCTAATGGAGTTTGTAAGAACTTATAACCACCTGAAGTGGTAAATTTCTATGCCTCGCCATGATCAAATTCATGTATGATTGTGGGCAAAGAATTGAAAACCCGTCCCATTGAATTTGCTCCATTCTCATTCCCTTAAGAGAATTTGATAGCAGTATGTGATAAGTCTAAAAGAAGACAAAATTATTACTATGAATGTATCAATGGATATGGACGTGGCAATAGACGAAATTATAATCGTCATCATTTGTGGTAATGAGAACAATAATGATTCTCAAAATAATCTTTCACTCTGTGAAAAATATTTGTCATCGATTTGACATGAGATTTTGTAAAGCACATATAGATGATTATGGTCCATTCATGATGTGAATGCGACAACATCTGATTTATGAATACATATTCATTCTTCAAAGAATATGAACGTGCTAGTGGTAGTGAATATACCACACTCACCTCTAAATGGAGGTTTGAGATGATATAAGAAATAATGTCATTATTATGGCATGAATGGTGATTGGTCACGTACCTATTGTACGCCAAAATATTTTGGCATTGTGATTGTTAAAAGACAACGGTAATGCAAGAAACAGATCTTGCATATAATTTTGACCATAACCATAATGGTATAACTTTCTCTTTAAAAGAGATATTCACCATATGGGTGTTGATGAATATGTGGCACTACAAAATTAATTGAGAACTCTACAAGAGCCAATTATACTATTTTGGAGAAACACAATTAATTACAAATAAGGTATTGTGTTGTAGTAAGTGTCGCGCCCCCTTTTTCTCGCGAAATTGGGTTTATGACATTTAAGAGGACAACTTGTTCCCTTTTGGAAATTGGGTTTTGAATTGAAGAGTCGCCACCTAATGATTAAAGTGCATTAGGACACTAAGAAGAATTTGATTTAGAAAACCAGAGTTTGGGTAAGGGCTAGAAATTATCCCGAGGGCAAGGTGTTAGGCACCCCTCAGGATCCACTAGTGTGGTTCCCGATCATGCTACAATTGTGACTTTAAGTACGAAGAACAAGTAAGCAAATAAAAGCTTCAAATATGAGGGAATATCATATATGGCGGCAAATGAATTAAAGTTTTGAAGAAACAAAGAAAAGCTGAGATTTTGAGGAAATAGTTGGAAAATTCTGAAAATAAAATAAAACAAGTATAGGGAAGGGGGTGCTAGGTTTACAAATAATATGGATCACATCAATGCAATACTCGGTAATCACTTCTCAGAAAAGGGTCTACACGTGGTATTAGCGCACCGGTCATCATATCCATATCTACCCTTCCCACCTCGTTAAGGTATTAAAGCGCGAAATAGTCTCGTTACTTATTGCATGCTATTACCCGTCCCAATCCTATCAGTCCCGGAGGCATTTGGGACTACTAGTCCTAAAGGGGAGGGAGATTTGGGCTTTTCAGAGTTTAAAAGGATAAAATTCTAAGGCGACAAGCAAAAACACATAAAGCAGATATAGGAAACACATAACAGTTAAAAAGGCTCAGACAAGCCTCCTCACTTAAAGATAAATTGTTTAGCATGTCTTGCACGTACTGGTTATGGTCTGAATTAAACTTAAAGCGTTAAGGCAGGCTGGTTTATCACATATTTTCAGATAAGAAGTCCGAATTAGGCCTGCCTGCTGGTTGTAATTATCAAAGACTGGTGTAGTTAATTAATTACCTAATGGCTTGCCTAGGTGAAACCTATAGGCATGATATCTAATAATGCAGGAGTACACTGATTTTAAAGAAGGCTTGCTGATTATAGAAAAACATAAGTTCTACAGGTATTGAGTATCGTTACCACTTATTTTAGACTTGTAGACGATTCAGATTCAGTTGATTACTCCTATAGGCATGCTTTCTAAGCGTGGTTGGTTTTAAAATGTTTATAGAAATACAAGAGTCCTATAGGCATGGTATCTAGAAGGCAATTTGTTATTTAAGCCTATAAACTGTTTGCCTAGTGATAGATGTTTATGCAGAATTTAAGAGATCCTATAGACAGGTTCTCTATATGAGATGCAGAAATGCATAATACTATAGACATGTTCTCTATATGAGATGCAGAAATGCAGAATCTTATAGACATGTTCTCTATATGAGATGCAGAAATGCAGAATCCTGTTGACATGTTCTCTATATGAGATGCAGAAATGCAGGAACTATTGATATGATATCTATGTATGAAAGACAGAACTTATAGACATGATTTCTAAAATGCAGAAGTGCAGATAACCTATAGGCAGGATTTCGAGAATGCAGAAATGAAAGCAGGATACGATTGTAGAAGTAAATACCTAAGAGCATGATGTCTACCCTTATGCATACATGAGTGACCCTTCCCTTTTCACTAAAATCCCCATAAGTTATTACAAAATTATTACAAACCAGAACGAATCAAGAAGAGTAAAATTACATCAGAAATTAGAGTACCACCAAGGAGAGCCTAATTCAGACTCCAGGTCTGAAATATGAAATAAACCAAGTCCAAAGATCCAATTTCCAAAGCCTTTCTCTTATTTGGGATGTGTCAAAGTTCCCTAAGAGTCTCAGGTGGACTCCGGGCAGTGCTAACACCCAGACACATTGCAGAATTGATTTATAGTGCAGTATGGAAGGGCCAACCCTCAAATGTCCAAGTTCAGAGGGAGCTCGAGGTCCCAAGGCAAGGCTCATATGAGGGGGGCAGAACTTGAATCTAAGAGTGAGTGTAGGTGCAGAAGGGGATTTAGGGGGAAAGCCAAGACAGGCTGGTGGTCATACCCAGCAATTGGAAGTGCTGGCACACCCCAACCAGCCTGTTAGCCACATTGTTTGGGAGTTAGGATCCTTTAAAGGATCAAGCACAGACATGAACAACAATTTGGATGCTGCCATGCCTGAACCTTAACTCAAACACATAGAGGGGAATAGGGGTATGGGGATTCACAACTGAAAACAGATGCAAAGAGAACATCATACATATTTAACACTAAGCATAGACAGCAAAGTAGATAGGATGATAGAAGTTGTGAAATAAACACATTGGGATGAGGCTGAAACTTAAATTAGAACATACCAGTTTTAGGGAAACAAGAAAGTAAAAGCAGTAGTCTTGTAAAGCCAAATTGCAAGCATATAGTCAGAATATCTCAGAAGAGAGTAAAGCGTTGAGTGAAGTGTAAGAGTATTGAAATTGAAAGTAAGTAATGTGTGTTAGAGTATTGAACTCAAGGTGTCTTAAAGTGTTGAAAGGTCGTGCCCTTTATAGTGCAGAAAGCAAGTAAGAAAAAGGTCAGAAAAATAGTTTTGAAATCAATTACATAAGGTCTCCCTTTAATTAAGGGATTCTGATTTCAAACGGGCAGAATAAATAAGGAAAGAATTTGATCAAAATCTTTTCCAAAGTAGTACAAGAAGGGCAAATACACAGAAACTATTTAAGGAAAGAGTTTGATAGCAACACGGTTTGTGCAAATAAGGAAAGGCAATCAATCAACAGCCAATAAAAATCAGAAATTGAGGTTTGGTATGAATGAATCTAACCAAAAAAGGTGAAGAAAGGTTTAATTAAAGAAAATCAGTAACAATCAATCGAACCTTATTAAAAGGAATTTTGAATCAATCACAAATTGGCAAAACCTTTTTTGAAGGAAGAATTCCTCATATATAAAGCATACAGACATGTCAAACAAGAAAGAATTGTCATGCTAATTAGAAAGAATCTAGTATAGAAAGGTTCAGAGTCACAAACAAAGGAGTTCAAACTCAGTGCATAGACTCAGAACGAGTTGAGAGTCCAGGGTTCTAAAATAGAATCCTAGTCCAAACACAAGATCAAACTCGCTAAAAACCCCAAATCCTAGGGTTTTCAACTCGAACCAGATGCAGAGACGAGAAGACAAATAACTGAAATAGGCTCAGAGGTCTCTTTCAGAGACTCATGAGAAAACAAACAGGTAAAATAGCAGGTTCGAAACAAACATAGTGAAAAAGCTGATTTGAAGCATAAAGAACATGTTTTAAGAAAAGCTTGGAACTTAAACAAGTTCAGAAGACAAAGAGGTAGTATAAACTTCAGGAAACAGTAGATGAAACATGTTTAGAAAGAACTCAAACAAAGTCCAGAAGAACGAAAATAATGAACTAAGAGCTTAATAGAAAATACAGTAAAGGAACACAGGGGTAAACCAACACATAACATAAATGTGTGAAAGCATGATATAGAAACTAGTAGAAGAAAGAACGGAGCACAATAGAAGAATATGCATAATAAGGCAAACATAAGAACACAAGAGAAGGACATGCGAGGTAGAAAAGAGAACATAAAAACATAGCATAGACAGATTCACTCAAAGAAAAGAAGAAGAGGAGTCAGAAAACATTTTAAAACTTTTTCAGAAACCCTAAATCGAAGAGAAACAAATTTCGAAAGAAAAGATTGGGGAAAACGTTTTAAAACTC